AAATAATTAATCTATTAGGTCTATTAGCAATACTAATAAAATATTTTGTCCATCAGAACTGGCGGGTGACACGCCTCATACAGTTCGATGTAACACAAAAGAAATAAACACACAGGTTAATGTTTTGTCCATCAGAACTGGCGGGTGACACGCCTCATACAGTTCGATGTAATACTTGTACAGGATATGGAATAGGACAGGGTAAGATACTGTAAGGTAACACACAAAAATGAAACAACAGTTGGAAGAATAAGAAACAAGAGCAAAATAATTATGCACATTTTTAATTATTAAGATTAGTACAGATCATTTTGGCGAATCGTACAGCGCCTAGAGCAGGCATGGATAGGCGCTATATAAATATTTATGTATTATTATTGTATTAATTATATATTTCTACAAATTTGGTGGTATGAACAAATGGCCTTATTTTCAGGGGAGAGTCAACTTTCATGGTTGCTTTGTGCAATTTGTAGATAAAATTGTATTTTAGTACTCAAGTTACAAAGGAATTAGCTGTTCCATGACATGAATATAAACATTTCAATTTCACTGTGTGGTTGTTGGCCCCATTAAGGGGGTGGTGTCATTGGAGCATTGTCTCATAATAAAGTGTATTTTAAGTGTTTCCCTAGGGCAAAAGGTAGGTTATTTGTAAATTAATGAACTGTCCTGTAAACAGGGCTCTTTTGTAAACATTACAAGTACAAGTAAAAACAATCTTGTAACTGTGTTTTCAGGAAACACTGAACGGCAGCTATTGGCATCCATTGAAGACATTGTGGAAGAGTCTCTGCCTAATAAAAAACTAGCTGACCATTTCCAAGACCCTGAGGCAGCCAAACTTTGCATCCTTAACAAAATAGCATTTTGTGAGACACGACAAAAGGTGCCATTATGTCCTGTTTGTTCTGTTTTGATCTTGTGTACATTAATTCTTTAACCAAACAAAATCAACGTGAAATGGTAGAACAACAATCATAATCATATATCTAGGTATTGTTACTCGTGATATGCTTGTTTTAATCTCTAAATGGCTTGGTCGAGTTTTAAATTATACACTTTTTACTTGAATTTTAGTATTTGGCTGAAGCTTTTTTCATCTTTTGTCTTGTAGTACTATCAGGAAATGATGGAAAGTGGGATTTTTGTCCGTGACTTTGGCACCAGACTTGAAGAAATTAACTTGACAAATTCAGGTATTACAATGGGTTATACGTTTTTTTATTAATTCCCTTTCACATGTCACACTTTTTTATGAACCATTATTCCTATTCCCAGAGGCCATAATTTTAGTAATATATGTAAACTAATGTATTCACCTGTTTGAATTCAGTTACATGGTGCAATAGAATGCTGGATATTGCAGTTGGGTGTGTTTAAATATGACCTATTTGACATGATATTTCTTTCCTATTATATATACAGGAGTCAGCAAGGAGCTTGAATTACAGATGAAATTCTGGAAAGAGAAACAACAAGATATTGAAAGTCAATTCAAACATCTCTACAGGCCTATGCAGTCAAACAAAGGCCAAAACGTTAAGGGGAAGAAGTCAAAGAAAGTGGATCACACCAACAAACAACTAAGTTACTATGCAGGCAAATTGACAAAGGAATTTTTAATCAAGGTTAGACTTATTGCATTTAATTTCTGTTCACTGATTAATTTTCGAATATACTGCAAATCACAGCATACAAAAAAAGAGTAGTTAAATAATTATGTAGTATTTAATTTATAATTATTTTAATATAATATTTCCAGATCCTTAGCACAAAAATGATATGTTAATCTCAACTCAATGCAGGCTTTTTCACTTCAGACTAATAGCAGAGCCTGACTTTTAACTTTGAACCCTAATAATATACTAATTGCAGGTGTGTTCACTGTGGAAAGAAATTGCATATGTTACGAGGGACAGAGAGTTCAAGGAAGATGAGGAACATCTTATCGATATTTTTGATGTAAAGGTTTGTGATACCTATTCTTTTGATTGAAGACTGCTCACTTTAAAAGAAACTTCTTGATATATGTATATGTATATAGATAAACAAAATTCATTTATATATATCTATATCTATATGCTCAAACTGGATTACATGTAGGTGAATCTTTGCTTATGTCATTGATTACATTTTTCCTCATTAACATACAACTTTGCACATACAAGGCATCATGCTAGATACAAATTGACTACAAACATTTCAAGAGCTTGTGAAATTTA